ATCCTATTATAATTTCTATACTTGTCCTCCCCCCCTCCCCCACCGTGGCTCAGCGGTAATTCAGTGGATTATATATATATATATATATATAGCGTTAAAAACTCAGTTTCGATTCCCGCGGTGAGCAGAGGACAGAATAACCTATTGGGTAGTTTTGTGCTTTACAACAAACAAACGTTCATACTTTTGTTACTGGATAAGGATATCTAGATAACCTAACACGTTTAAACTTATGCTTGTTCACAGGTATGGTTCAAGAACCGACGAGCTAAATGGAGGAAGCAACAGAGAGAACACCAAGAGCGACAACACCATTTGCTGGAGGGAAACTTTCCAAAAGAGAAAACAGTACAAGGACACAAAGATGATTATTCACAAGAGGAAAACTCGCTCTTTCCACAAGCACTTTCACTTCGCCAGTCAGCTGAAGCGGCTTATCACAATACTGAAATTTCAGATTCGCAACTCCAGTTTCCTTCTTCAAAAATCCACAACACTCATTTGTCACAACGACCAATTAAAAAGCAGCTGAATGACACAGAAGAAACACAATCTACCAAGATCTTGTTGCCACCCACTCTAGCATGCAACTATTACGAAGCCTGGCCTAAAGATGCTCTGTTAAAATGTGTTAATCAAATCTCAGCACCAGAGGGCAAAGCTCAAAATCTCAGTTTGAATGACAAAAAAGAAATCAATCCGGTGTCATCTGATATTAATGAATGTCGCTTGTAATGAAAACCGAATAAATATGAATAAAATCGTTTAATTTTACTTCATTTAAACGCTACAACAAACATTTCGAGAAAGAGTTGAATCTTGAACATTCTGAAACTGATGCTGAAGTTATAATTCTAGTAATTTTGATTAACTCTCAAATTTCATTATGTTAAAATCAGAAACGTGTTTTTTCTTTCGTTGTTGAGATGTCCAAGTTTAAATTAAATGAGACTTTGAATTAAATCCAAATTCCTAAGCTACAACCTTATAAAATTCATTCAATGTACTGAGATTCTAGGAGTAGGTAGGATCAAGTGCACAATTTGTTACGTCAGAGAATTCTGTAACTTTTGAGTATTTTTATTTGTACATTCTGAAAATATATGATCAGAATGACCGAAAGAAAATATTACAATACCAACATGTCATTTCTAGACTAGTTAAAGCGTTAATTTCATAAAATATTAGTATCATAGTGCTTTAAACAGCACTTGTTCTTGCAACATTAACAAACAAGTTTGTTTGGTAGAATAAGAAAATATTTTACTTACATTTTAGTTTCGAATAAGAATTCTAAATCAGGATGAGTTCTGCTGATCTCAAATTAAGTGTGGAATATTGAAATTTGGGAATCTTTTGCTTTGTTACATTCATATTAATGCATTAAAATAATTAATGAAACCACGTTGATAGTAATTGGAAAAAATATATGCTTAGGCTGAATAATGAAAAGAATTATATCACGTGAAATATATTTATTTTGATTCTTGATTTGCAAATTTATTATTTTTTAAATAAAATATTTATATGATTGCAAATTTTTCTAAAAATGACATAGTCAATTTTTTAAAGTTTAAAATGTGTATACAATTTGGGAGTTGCCACATTATCGTTATAATACGTTTTGACAAATTACGAATAATTAATTAGCTTTACGTACAATGTATCAAAACACGTTCCTTTTCTCGCGTGCAGAACACTGTGTATATGTGTAAGAATATAAATACGTCGTGTAGTAATCTATAGTTTAAAAAAAATAGTGTGTTCATATTACGCTGGTGTATAAACAACTAAAGTCGTGCTATATTTAATAGTGTATGTTTCTGGTGTTATTGTGTTAATGTTTTAATGTTACTGAGAATTTCCAGATTCTGGAGACACATAGCATGTGTACTTTCCATCTTGTGTTCTCTATACAGATGCTAAATGTTTCAAGTGAACCAGGTTGTGAAAAGATAGGCTTATGTATATACATATGTTTGACATGTATTGGGTATAAATTATAATCAACTTTTAACCATCTGTCAGATAATTATCGCTTGACAACAGTGGCCCATAAGAAGTGTTATGTTTTAACGAACAGAATGCTATAGAAGTTTTATGCTTTAGATGTTATCGATAACATCATTAGTAGCATGATGAAATGCCCTACTATATCACAATGTTAGAAGATTTATGCTTTAGATGTTATCGATAACATCATTAGTAGCATGATGAAATGCCCTACTATATCACAATGTATTATATGTAGTAGTTATAAGATAGTTGAAATAAAGCTGAAATCTAAACCTCCCCCCTGAATGATATCTTTAGATGTTATCGATAACATCATTAGTAGCATGATGAAATGCCCTACTATATCACAATGTATTATATGTAGTAGTTATAAGATAGTTGAAATAAAGCTGAAATCTGAACCTCCACCCTGAATGATATCTTTTCGTGCAATTTGTTTTTAACTTTCAGTTCGAGATCAATTTTACGTTATTCTAACTCATGTATGGGGGGTGAAGAGAATAAACTTTCTGAACCCCCTGGTGTCATTTGACTCCGAATTCTTCTTAGGTTCAGAATCGAATGATTCAAACCAGAATTCATACCAAGTGAAATCAAATCAATTTGGAGACACCAATGCTAGTAAACTAAGCATAATTCATTATAAGTTACAATATGTAGTGTGATGCCACTGAAAATTGGTTTTAGGGAAGGATATGTAACAACCCATTCCAACGCAAAATATGTGTACACTGTGGTAATACAGATATGTTTGGATCGGATGTTTAGAGTTTTCAATGGCATTGGAAAACAAATAGATATGGATCAACTTGAAGCATCAAGACCATCCTGCAACAAGTACCCAGTCGAGGTAGAGGAAAAGCGGCTTCTTGCAACAGGTGAGAATCTACGAACAGGAAGGTCAGTAGCAAAAGCCGTTCATGTGCCACAGGCAACAGTAGGCAAAATAATCAAGAAGAATTTCCGTCTGGTAACGAGGTCAGTAGAATATGGGTTTACCAAGATAAAGCTTCCAGCCATGCCTCCCATTCAAATGTTGCATATTTCAAGCAGTTGGGGAATAAAACAGGTATTCATTCTGTACTGCTGTCTTCCTACACTATATGGATTGTGGAAAATTAACAAGGACAGGTGGTGTGTTTTGAGCATGACAGACATTTGCAATGGAAACTATGGCGCAACGCTATTGTGAAGATGCACTTTTATCAGATAGAGCATGAACGGACCTGACGACATGGACTGTAACGATGGGGTCAGGTTCCATCATCATTGTATTATAATGTATTCAACAATCTGTGTACATGAGGAAAAAGTTTGTACAGAAAACAACTTACGAGGATTTTTAATGAAAAAAATGTAATTATATATGTATATATTTTGCTGTTATTTAATTCCAGGTAGTTACAGTAGCAGATTAGAGAGCTATCGGCAATACAGTTTCGTTCCTCTAGCACTATATAGAACCAACTGCAGGGTAGTTTTGTTTATATAGAAGTAAAGCAAGCTGGCTGTAGAGCGGTTTTATTTCTCTAGAAGTGTAAAAGAACTAATTGAAGAGCAATTATATTTCTAGCAGTGTAAAAGTACTAGCTGTAGAGCGGTTTTGTTTCTCTAGTAGTTTAAAAGAACTAGCTGCAGAGCAATTTTGCCTTTTTAACAATGTAGAAAGTAGTTTTTGTTCTAACAGTGTAAAAAACTAGATATAAAGCAGTTTGTTGCTTTTGTAGTGTGGAGAACAAGCTACAGAGTGATGTAAAGATCTAGCTGTGGATCAGATTTGTACATCATGTAGACAAAACATGTGTTACGTTTTGTTAATGAACTCACACGCCATTGAAATGATATAATTTATATGAATCTAGGTTTATAGAGCATGTACAAATATATATATTGATAGCTCGACACCACTATAACTCCATATGTATAGATATAATTAATATAACACGACTGTAACTTCATATATATACATCTGAATAGCGCAGCATGACTGTAAAATTTTAGTCTTTACTTACACCCGTTCATTTCCTACGACAGCTAAGAATGTAAACATTTCATAGTTTACTTGAAGGTTTTGCTGGAAAAGCAAAATCCTCTTTTATATTTGAAACTATTTTATTGTACATTAGAGCCAACACAAACGCGTTTGCCTGTTAATATAAACCTGGTAATATTTTGCTGCATTTTGCGGTCTTCGTACTTCGGCGCTTATGAACGACCCACTGTCACGAAAACCTGGTCGGAGAATTTCTTCTGCTTGGTTCCAGCACGATGCCTAATCGGTCCGAGTTGGCGGATCTGTAACTTTAGTTCCCAAACCCGACACGCAGGGCTTCTCTCGATAGAAATTACGGACTAAACTACTTAGAGTTCCAACACAAGCCGACTGAGTGCCACTGCCGAGACCAAGGAAGCCATCCAAGTCTCTGCAGTCAAACTACACCTGTAGGCCGACTATGGTTTTATTCGGAGATAAAAGGCGACCAGCCGATTTCTGATGAAACGTTGAAACAAAAGAAGCTTTTGACCTTCTAGTCTCGTGCTATAAATCTCGCGTGACGCACTTGTACGGACTCTTGCACTCACGTGTAAATGATGCGTTTGAAATTATGTGAATTATCACATTTCAACATGCAAGATTTGTTTGAAACATCCAAGATGATCGCAATATACTTTCTATCTATCATTATTAAGTTAACAGTGTGTGACACATGAACATCTAAGGTCCAACTTTAAGTAAATCTGTATTACTATACAATTTTTGATTCGTTATAGAAAAGCATTTGTGTGAGAACTATTAAATGATCTCTAGCCCTTTTTTTTTCAAAAACAAAGATCGTTGGTTGGTTGGTTGGTTTTGTTGAGCACAAAGTTACACAACGGGCCCATCACGAATATCGAAGCCCGAATATCGAAGTATTAGTAGTAAGGGCCCCACTTCAGCATCCAAAAGATGCCCCTCCCGCTGATTGGCTGCCTCAGGAAAGGAGGAGAGGGGGGGTGATGTCATCAAAGATGAAGGCGTCATAGTTCCACCGTAGTTCCGTCATAGTCCCTAAAAATGGCGATATCATGCAATAATTAAAACTTATACTTTTACTTTATACTTGTATATTGAAGGTCAATTTTAAACTGTAAGTAAAGTCCAGATTTAGTTTTCAAAAGTTTTGTATAATTTCTAATATATAAAGCAAACTTTGTTTACTTGTGTAAAGCGAATGTTAATTAGAGTTTATTATTATAAAATTAATATAGTAACCAATGTTTTTTTGTTATAAACACTGAATTGTTATCAAAACTTTAATCACTTGTTCCTTGGATTATCTAGTCAGTTATTGTGATATAGACTTGGTCATTCTAATCCTATGGACCAAGACAGTCAGTAACCTTGAATATCAAACATTTTGGACTGTCAAGCTTTATTTCTTCGAACTGGTGTGTTTTTGTCAAACTATGCTCTACTTCTCGATTGCAACACAGTATTTACTTCGCAAGCCACATAGACTTGGTCAACTCAGAACTGACCTTTGTCATTCTAAGCAGATGGTTTTTCTAACTTGTATATTTTCAAGCCGGTCAGTGATCTTCAATGAGTCAGACTGTGTGTTGAGTTAAAGAAAGCTTTACATGTATAGTCTTTCTTCTTACAATAACTGTGTGTGAAGTAATGTTAGACAGCATCAGGGTTTGACATCAGATATGGGTTCGTTAGTGGTATAACA